GTTTCTCTTTCCTCTCCTGTCTTCTTTCTCATGTGCCTCAAGACAATATTTAAAAAATATCCTGGGAGCATCTACTTTTACTGGTTGCACTCCAGTCATTTATCATTTGTCCCAGGAAGGCAGAAGTGAGGCTTCTCTGGGCCTCTGCTCTCTACGTGAGTCACCTGTTTGGCATTCTTTGTTTTATAAACACAGGTTATCATATGTGTTCTGACTCATATGGTGTTATTTTAATAACATTAAGAACTTCTTAAAGAGGACGAAAGCAGTTAATAAAAGTGTGAATTAGCCTTTGGTTAAGGGAATTCATCTCATCAGCAAAACATTATACAATAAATAACCTTATTCAATCAGTTTATATTTAAGTACCAATAATTTGTTGTGATCTACACATCCAATAAAGTGTTTTTCAGTTACTTGGTCTTCCCTAGAATAACGACATCGGATGGGATTATGGCATAAAATTATTAAATGGAATACAAATGCAGGAGAAAAAGAGCTACCATAAAAAAAATTTTAGAGCATGGATATTTTATTTTATTTTTTAGTTAAATGGAAAAGCAAGTTGTGATTCTTCAACACTTTGAATTCATTCCCACAATTTCCTATAAATCTTTGACCTGCTTTTTTTTTACAAGAATCTGGGCCCATGGTCAAAAATGTGCTTTTACCCTATCATTTATCTCCTGCACAGTTTTTCTTATGGTGTTTGCCAGTCGGTGGTCATACAGTAGAGCCAGAGAAAAACCATTTGCCGAGTTTCCTCATTTAACCTTGATTTTCTGTTAGCCTTGCCATGATAAATGATGCAGAACTGGAGGAAGGAAAATGTCTATAATAGAAAAAGTCAAATATGCTGTCTGTTTTTGGCAAAACCACAAAGAACCTATTTGGTATGACCAATTGTTAAATAAAAAAATGGCAGTGTCTTATTTGACAATATGGTTTTTAAAAATCATGAACATACTTGTTTTTGTATTATTTTTACCTATTTTTACTGAAGATTACAACCTCTGCAAACAGATCCTAAGGCAATCAACTAAACAGTAATATTAAATCTCACAATAATTTCCAGAGTCCTGAGCTAGAGATTTATTGACTTGTAAACTGGTTCAGACTTGTAGTAAATCAGACATTTTACTGACAGCGGTTACTTTTGAGAAATAGAAAAGCTCTGTTACAACTTCTTGACCAAAAACTTTGTTCCTGACAAATTTGAAACTATTAAATCTGTGCTTTAAAAAAAAAAAAAAAAAAAAAAAAAGTCATGAAGTAAAACACTCTCTTGTGAGGAAAAAATGTATACTACCTTTAAAAAGGTATGGTGACAAAACCACAGAGGGGTTTATATTTTGACCCAACATTCTTAGTCATGTTGCAATATCACAAAATGCTTTATTTACTTATCTTGCTTTATTTATAAGGGTAACAGTTTTTCCCTTTAAGCCAGAGGAATATCTCTACATTCACTTTCTGTTCTTTATCTCTTTAAACCAATTTTAACTTGAATAACTGGAACTCTGACCAAAAAAAAAAAAAAATGGCTTTCTCTTTTTTCCCCCCTTACCTCCTCTGCTTAACTAATTTTTGAAATTACTTTTATGACCTCTTTGCTTTCTCAGTGGAAAGAGGAACCCAGGATGGTAACTGGGAGCCAGAATTTCTTGCCCTAGGAACGTGGGCCCAGTAATGTGAATTGTGCCTGAGGGCTTTAGCATATGATGTCATGAGAACATTCAGCAACAATGAATTGCTACATGCTTGTAGCAGTTTTCAATATGAAACAAAAGGATAAACATATAGGTCAATAGAACATTAAAAAAATCCAGAAAGAGACATACACAAGTATCATCAGTTGCTTTAGACAAAAGTACCAAAGTAACTTAAGTGAAAAAAGGATAATCTTTTCAACAAATTCTGCTTTGTTGGATATCTGTTTGGAAAAAAAAAGAAACTTGGCCCTGACCAAAAATCACACAAAAAATTAACTCAAAATGAATCATAAAAGTGAAAACGATAAAACTTGTAGAATAAAACAGGAGAAAATATTTGTGACCTTGGATCAGCAAAGATTTATATGACTAGGACACAAAAATCATGATTCAAAAAAAAAAAATTTGAACTTCATCAAATTAAAAAGTCTGTTCTTTAGTTCTGAGAAGATTAAAAAGCAAACCACAGTCTGGAAGAAAATATTTGCAGTACTAATACCTGCCAAAGACTGGAATCTAGAATTTATAAACAACTCCAAAATCTCAATAATCAGAAAACAAAACAGGTAATTTCAAATGTCAAAAGATTTGAACAGGCACTTCACAAAAGTAGATATATCCATGGCCAATTAGCACATGAAAAGATGCTCAACATCATTAGTCAACAGGGAAATGCAAATTAAAACTATCATAAAGTACCTCTATACACCCATTAGAATGGCTAAACTTAAAAGACTGACAATACTATGTGTTGTCAAGGATATAGAGTAACTGGAACTTTCATATATTGCTTGTGAATAAACAAGATGTTACAACCACTTTGGAAAAGTTTGGCAGTCTCTTTTAAAGTTAACCATATACTGTATGATCCAACAACTCTGCTCTTAGATCTTCTTTTATTCAGAGAAATGAAAATGAATGTTCATAGCTTTGTTTATAATCTAAATCTGGAAACAATTCAGATGTCCATCAACAAGCAACCACACAAACATAAAGTGGTATATCTATTTTATAGAATATTATTTAACAATAAAAAAGGAATGAACTATTGATACATACAACAACATGGATGGACCTGAAAAGAATTTTCAGCTAAGTGAAGAAACAAAGTGTGGAAAACTCTATATCATATGACGTTCTAGATGCCTGAAAGCAGATCAGTGGTTGCCTAGCGCTAAAGGGCTGGTGTGAAGGGTTGACTGCAAGAGAGGAGGAGGTAACTTTTTGGGCCAAAAGAAATGCTCTGTATCTTGATTGTGGTGGTAATTACAAGAATGTACTTGTTACAAGGGTGTATGTATCTGTAAACTCATGAGAGCTATACATTTGTTAAAATCATGAAGAAAAACTATATGTTTCACTTATTTATTTTAAATTTTTTATTTTAAAGATGTGAGGTACAATTCAGGGTTAAGTATACAAATGTTCATTATGCAGGAACCCTTGTTGATGAGGTGTGCCCCTCCGGCAGAATCCCACTGCTGCCAATCCTGCCCGCCCCAGCAATTTCCCACTACTGACAATCCTTTTCTTATAGTCTTATAATTGTTCAAGGTCCACTTATGAGTGAGAATATGTGATACTCAGCTCTTTGTTTCTGTTATAGATCACTCAGTATTATAGTCCATCCAAATTGCTGTGAATAATTTTGTCCTTCTTTATGGATGTGTAATATTTCTTTGTGTGGATGTACCACATTTTAAAAGTCCATTCCTCTTTTAATGGGTAGCATGGTTGGTTCTATGACAAACAATGTATTTTAAATGGATGCATTTTATTGTGTGCCAATTAGGCCTTAATAAAGTTAATAGCTCCATATTTTTGACACCCCTCCCAGCAAGAGGCAGAGTCTCTGTTCCCGCTTCTTGAATCTGGGTGGTCCTATGACTGCTTCAACCAATAGAGTATGGAAATGTCTCTGTGTTACTTCTGAGGCTAGGTCATAAAAAGTCATGTAGCTTCTTCTCGGTTTCATTGAAATACTTGATCTGGAGGAAGACAGCTGCTATGTAAAAACTCCGTCTGCTGTGAAACAACCATGCTGAAGAGACCAAGTATGAGTATTATGGTCCACAGTACTTTCTAGTTGAACCCTACCTTCTAACTCACAAAGTGCCTGATGTGTGAGCGAAGTCATCTTGGACCCTCCATCCAGCCTATCCATCAGCTAATTGCTGTTGAGTTGGTTTAGGTAGTTGATGCCACAAGGAGCGAGAGATCACCAGCTACTAAACTACAGGGTCTATGAGTTGTAATAACATGGCTATTGTTTTAGACCAATCAGTTTTGTTAGTGTATTAGTTACCTATTACTGCACAAAAAATTACTTCAAAACTTAGTGATTCAAGACAACAGTAATCATTTATTATCTCACAGTCTCTATGGATTAGGAATTTGGGAGCAACTTGACTGGGCAATTATAGCTTGGTTGTATCTCATGAGGTAAGACATTGAACAGATTCCATTGCTGCCTGAGGAGCTTTTGGCTATGGGGAGTAGGGTCAGCCACGTTAATCTTCAATTGCAACACAGTTGGATAATCCCCAGAATAGGGGTAAAAGCAGGGTGCTATGGAAAACCTAACCCAGTCTTTTTAAAAATTTCTTTTTAAATTTTATTTTAAAGTTGTGGGGTACAATTTAGGGTTAATTATATAAATGGTCAATGTGTAGGTAAACTTTGATCCTCACTTTGGTTCCCACTTTACCTGGTTTGAAATCAGGTACCCTTATTGATGAGGTGTGCTCCCTCCCCTCTCCTGGCAGTTTTCCACTACTGCTAATCCCTTTCTTATAGTATTAAGATAATTGTTCAGGATCTGCTTATGGGTGACAACAGGTACTCAGTTCTTTGTTTCTGTGATAGATCACTGACTATTATAGACTCTTAAGTTCATCCAAGTTACTGTGAAATTCATAATTTTGTTCTTCTTTATGGCTTCAAGATATTTCATTGTGTATATGTACCACATTAAAAAAAATCCAGTCCTCTTTCAACGGGCATCACAGTTGGTTCCATGCTTTTACCATTGTGAATAATGCTGCAATAAACATGCATGCGCAGGTATTTTTTCATAGAGTGATTTGAGTTCCTCTGGGTATATTCCTAGAAAGGGGATTGCAGGGTTGTATGGAAGG